AAGCTTCTAGCAGCTTCTCACACAAGCCACCCCTGTAGCCCACCCCCCCTACCGAAACCCTGCCATGCAAACCTAAGAAAATTTTATTTTAAAAGCTGGCTAAAATTTTTCAGGGAGAAAACCTTTGTTTTAAAATCAAAAATGACAGCGTTTATAGAAGTATTTTTCAGGATTTTACTGCAAACCAATGGGTTTGGTCACAAAAAAAAATATGATACGTATAACCATGTTAATTATATTACATTACAACAATGGTATACATTACAATTAAGTCTGTAAGTTTAAATATACATCTAGAGTTACAACTGAATGTACAGATCTTTTTTACAGTACATACAATCAGGAATGAAAAACCCCCAAAACCATAAATAATGCCCATTTTACAGATGACATCTTTTAAACTAAAAAAGAAAAAAAAAAAAGAAAAAAAGAAACCAACAGCTTTGACCAACTGCAGCTGGGGCATTTTGGTCCATAAAAACCCATTCTAAAAATAGAAATCTTTTTTCATAGCAGCAATGCTTTCTTCAAGCATTTGGATACAAGTAATTGTGAGCCCATTTCAATAATTTTAGTTGACTGTATAGATCTACAAAAGAAATTTCAAAATTACACTTAATTTATCTTCCAAATATGGAAGAAACAAACAATGCCCCACATTGTGGTATCCTGCAAGTGTCACATTGATGCTTTAAACTAAGTCCATCTGTAGTACGCAGACCACACGCATACCATTTGTTCACATAGTAAACCCACATAAATGAACTGAGAAACACACTCTGCAACAGGGAAAGCTTTGGAGCTCACAAGATCTCATCAGAAAAAGGCACATTTCATAAAATCCTTATCACGTTCAGAAAGATCTTCAGGCAAGGCTTTTCAGAGCACGTTTTCAAAACATCTTGTTCTTACTCCTACGATCTGCCATAGCAGTCTATGGCAGCAGTCACTCTTGTTTTTCTTTCCCAAGGAGACAGCACCACTTTGGGGGAAGAACGAATGGAAATGAAAAGCCTGTAAAGCTCATTTAGAGAGTGATGTGCTCTTCAAAAAAGCTTCCAACAAACAGGGTAGTTGAAATTAAGGCTGCAAAGCTGCCATGGTGGAAATGTGCAAATTCTCTTTCAAGATGACTGGTCAACTGGCAGTTCCACCAGAAGGCCAAACAAAAATAAAAATAACAGTTATTATTATTAAAAACATAAGAAAGAAAAATGTTCACAAGAAAGAGTCCACGGGTGGGGCATATGAGAAGCCCAAAAAAGCCTCAGCGGCTTCTTTGACGCTGGCGGTGATGAGGATGCTGTCTGGGGACTGGCCGATGGAGTTGGGGACTGGCTCATCTGTAAACTCTGGATCGAAGTGTCGCAGGTCACTGGGGCCACTCTGTGGAAAGGGCAGAAAAGGAAAGATGCAACATTTAGACCCAAATGTTTTGTGAGTGTGCAGTTTAATTCAAAATGGGGACAAGCACCCTTGTGTGGAGACTCACAGTGTTATCACCTTGGGCCCGCTGTTTAACAGCCTTTGCCAGTTTTAGTTTGACATTTTTTTTTTTATCCTGCTGCATATTTTCTTGCTAAAGCCAAGATGATTCAGTTTAATATGCTACCCTCCAACTAAGCTCATGCAACAAAAGCTAAATACAAACATGCCACTCTGCCATGCAGCAGTTTGCAGGGGAGGACTTTGATCTCTGAGCTAGTTATTAGATTTAGTCTATAAAATGCTCAGAAAGTGAAAGAGAACAACCTCTACAAACAAGTCCTTCTCTTTAGATGTTAGTATCTGACAAGCCAAATGTAACTCTGCCCTTGGGAAGCTACTTGCTTTCTATTCTACACCTTACCTTCCCCTTTGGTAAAATGGGGATGCTGGGGATTATTTCAAAATAGCCATGCAAATGAAGCATTTGTGAGAGGCCAAAAAACCCAGCTAAATTTAGACTGTCCATCAGCAAAAAGCCAGCTACTGCTTATTTTTAACCTTGCCTGGACAGCCACAAGGGAAGGAGAAGCTGTGTTCCCCAAACACAGCCATCCAGCCAACTCCCCCAGCTCCCAGGCACCCCACGAAGACAAGGGGGGAAAAGACACTCTCCATACATTCTATAATTAGAGGTGATACATACCACATTTGGGTTAAAAGGGGGTGTAATCTTCTTATTAATGAGATCATCCCAGTTAATTGGGGAGAAGAAGATGTGATTCTTAATCTCCATCTGTTACAGAGAGAAAAATAGATTAATTCAGACCCAAGCTAATGTAAGCAGTATGGCCTAGTCATCCTCCTGTGCTGCCTACAGGCACTGGCCGGTTTGCACTTACAAAGTCCTCCTTGGCACCAAGCCTCTTTGTCCTGTCCTTCTGCAAGAGGCCTTCCAGGAGATGTCTAGCTGAGTTGGTAATATTTGGCTTCAGCTGCAAGGGTTTGTTCAAGATGTTGTCGTACATTTCTGCCGTGTTCCTGCTGTAGAAGGGTGGCTGTGGGAACAGGAAAGGAGAGACCCAGGTTAATGAGGCTGACGGGTGGGCACGGGGTTTCTTGCAGGGAATGGACGAATAAGCTAGTTTGATCTGTCACAAAAGATTCGTTGCTTACCAGGCCATAAAGCATCTCATACAGGACTGCTCCAAGGCACCACCAGTCCACGGTACGGTCATAGGGCTGCTTATGAAGAACTTCAGGAGCAAGATACTGTGTAAGAGAAAGAAGAGAGATGCATTAGCCAAAGGGATCTTTATAATTAGGAAAGCCTCCCCATTCTTGAATGAAAGCAGCTAACTGAATCCCAGTAACATGCAAGCTACCAGAAAGCTACAAGCTCTTTATAAACAAGGAGATGGCTCGAGAGCTGTTCTCTCCGGCTCAACAAGCTCTACATGTTCTACACGTCCTCACTGGCAGCCTGATATTACAAGACCCGTAATACACCCTGCTTGTCTAACCAGCTGTAAATATACATGGGAGATGTCAGTTTTCACCGACGAGGACAGCACTTGCTGCCGCTCTGCGAGTGGCGGGCTGAGGGCTGGCCGTACCTCTGGTGTGCCGCAGAAGGTGGAGGTCGTGCCATTGTGCTCAATGTTTTCTTTGCAGAGTCCAAAGTCAGTCAAGACAATGTGCCCCTGCGAATCGAGCAGGATATTCTCCGGCTTCAAGTCACTGTAGGAAGAGATGAAAGAAGACAAGCATTTGTTAGGGGAGCTACAGTGAGAATATTTTAGGCGCAATTTTTACAGAACTTCACTAAGTCATGAAAAAATATTAAAAGCAATTCTGAGCTCATATTGAGATCAACTTTTCCATGCTTATTCAACAAAGCATGTGTTTTTTTTAGTCTGACAAACTGAACAACGTTGCTTACCGATAAACAATGTTCAGGGAGTGCAGGTAGCCCAGTGCACTGGCAATTTCAGCAGCGTAAAATCGGGCTCTCGGCTCCAGGAAGCAACGTTCCCTCTGGAGATGGTAGAACAACTACAGGAGACAGAGAGAACAAAGTTGTGTAAGTGGCGCCAAAGCCTGTTAACAATGCACTTAATTAGACTCAACGAATACAGCAAGGGAGAACAATAGCAGGAAATGGCCTAACGATCCTTTGGTAGTTCAAAACTTGGCAGGCTGGAAACATTCAATCTAGTAATTTTTCCCCCATGACTTTTCCCCTTGCAATTCTTTTTTATTTAAAAGGAAGGGTGAAAAAGTCTACCCTACCACCGTGCACATGATAGGAAACACTATTTCATTTTCTTACTGCTTACCTCTCCACCATTGATGTAGTCTAGGACAAAATACAATTTGTCTGCAGTTTGGAAGGAAAAGTGAAGCCCAACCAGGAAGGGGTGTTTCACATTTTTCAGCAGGACATTGCGCTCTGACATAATGTGCTTCTCCTGAAAACATAAGAAATCATCAATGTTTAGTACACTTGCTTAGTAATAGCAGTAAAAATATATTTGATGGACATTGCAATGGAATCATGAAGCAGCAGCTTACCTCCTTCTTCTTCAGGATTGCTTTTTTCTGCAGGACTTTAACAGCATAGAACTGCTCTTCTGCCTTATGCCGTGCAAGGAGAACCTGAAAGAGGTTAAAATCCCAGAACTGAGCGATAGTAAAATACAGAACAACTTGTAAACACAACTGGAAACAAGCCTTTATGTTAACTGCTGAGCACTGCTACATCCCTCTAGTTCAATGTGCAAGCCCTTTGCTGGAAATGCCTAACGTTACTACCACTCTGGCAGATAAATCTAGCCCAAAGTTTTTATGTCCAGTTCCCTTCCCCTCCAAAAGCGGAGTATATATTCTTCCCAGCACCACTGCCTCCTCACTCCCTTGTTCTTTTATGAGTCTTGCAAAGGCAGCACCCTGCACCCTCTCCCCGCAGCTACGCAGGGAGCCAGGCGCTGGGCAGCAGGGCATGCTCAGGTCTGGTTTCAATGACCACCATTTACCAAAGCCAGTACAAACCCGACCCTCAGGCATTTACATACAAGAGCTGGAGAGTAAATAAATTACAGCACAAAGAAATTAGATTTACCTTCCCAAAACTGCCTTTTCCAATCACTTTTAAGAAATGAAAGTCTGATGGTTTGGCATGTGGGTTGGATGATGGACCAAGATTGATCTGCTGTGAAGGACTGGGCTAGAAAAATAAACAGACAGAAACCACATTTATTAAAACAGCTTGGTAGTGAGAGCCTCAACAATGTCTCTTTTTTTAAAATATAAAGTGACCTTGAAAGTGAATATTAGTGCTCTTCTTATCACTAAAAATGTAATCTTGACCTCTGCCAGATATCTTAAAACTATTAGGTTCTGCCTACAAAGAGTATAACAGACATAGTTTACTTAAAAGTTTTTGTTGAGGTCTTAGCCACATTCAATAATAAAGAAACAACCAATAAAGCTTATTTTTATTTTTTTTCTTCATGTCGGGAAAAAGTTTCAGTCTAACTTGATAGCTCTTTTTCCCAGTTACATCAGTGTGCTATGAGCTGAACTACAGTAACACTCACGATGCTAATTTTGCTACGCTTCTGTTACCGGCTGATTTGATGTTCTAAAAATGCTTCACTGAGTAAGATCTACTTACCGGAGGAGAAGGATTCGCATTCATAAGTTCAGGCTCTTGAGGCTGGGAGATTTTCAAGATAGACTGAACTTCAGGGCTGCAAGGATAAGAGCGTGCATGATTAGAAGAGTTACCAGAAGCATCAGGTAGATCTTTCCACCAGAGGGCAAGCACGCATCATGAAAGACGAGTTTTGGTTTAGGCTATTACAGAAGGCAACTGAAACAATCTAATCGACTTAAGGAGTAGAATTAATCTAGAGAAAGTAAATTCCGGCATAAAAAGAAATGTACTTATACCGTAAGTACAGTTCAAAATAGGGATGGGGCTCTAGAAATCCCATCCAACTGATTTCTCCCAAACCCAGCTCAGGAAGATTTGTTGCCAAGTGAGTAATACCTCAAGAAGATAAATTAACTCTTCCGTAACAGTCATGCCAGAGGTATTACAGTAAACAAACCCTTTTTTTTTTTTAACTAGATCTCGCAATACATAGGGATATTTGTGACTGAAATCCGGCCGAAATTTCTGATACTTACTGCTTGCATGCGTAGGAGTTGGTGGCGATCTTCTGAATGAAGTCGTTTAGCCCCATCCTTCTCTGCTTCATGAAAGCTATAGAGTAAAAGGACAGGGAAAGGAGAAATAAAATCGTTACGCCATCCTGCGAGAAAAATCACAGCCCCTCGCGAGCATCCTCGGAGAACCCCCCCGCCGCTCACCGATGAGGATGGCCACCATCCCCCTCATCTTCGAGTAGGTCAAGGTAGGACCAGACGCCTCGGCTGCTTTCACGGTCATTTCAGAGCGAGGTGGAGGGGAAAGGGGGGGGATAAATAACGAGCGTACGATACCACCAGCTCCCAGCACCGCACTGCCTCGGCGAAGGACCCGACGGCGCTTAAGTGGCGGCGGTGATGGGCGGGACCGGGGCGGGGCGGCGACGCTCGGGCCC